AAACACGTCATCGCTTGCAGGTTTATGATACCCGGTGTGTTCCTGACCGGCCTGTCAGCCGAACCCCGTCTCCAGGAAGCATACAAACGCGGATATACATCACGGCAACGATGAGGGGCGGCATGGGTAATTAGGCTCACGTTTTCACGCGACCCGTGGCCCCACAACACGGAGCTGTATAGATTATGAAGCTCATAAGTACACCAGATATGTTTTGACCCGATGGTAGTACTCGTAAGAAAAACAAGAACTACAGCTCGTGGTAACATTGAGGTGATTGCTTCAGTGGATGCCCACAACTTAAGTACATACATTCGTGTACGTTTGAGGCAATTGACACTTGAAGAGGACGTGATGAGCTCATCACATCCCTAAACGTTCAATAACTCGATGTCAGCGCCGACAGTGTCGTACCAACCTCCTTAAATTATAAGAAAGGTACGCTGAGTGCAACCAAGTGTAAATACTTAAAAAAAGAAAACAATTGAAGCTAGCAATGTGGGTAGACGTGTAAAGAGTTAAGAACAGGAAAGACCTGAATCACCTGCAATTTGCATTCGTAAACATGCGATAGCCGGTGAATTTACCTCCGTGTTTAGGCTTGGAATAGGATCGTTCATGTTTCTGTGCAGTCATCAAACACTGCGCGTCATAAGGAGCCTTTTCCAAATAAACAGATGAGTAACACAGCCCGATCTTTGCCGGAACTTTGGCCGATTTGTGACAGTAATTTAGCGGAGTCATTTCAATGCATGACGTGCAATTCTTGGCAGAGCGTGTTTTATCCGTGGTGGACCGTAGTCTAAATGAGCTGAACCTTTCTGCCACAGTTATGTCCAGACATCCCCAATTCAGTCCGAGGTGTCTTGCTCAACTTAATGGGTCAGGACAAGCGCGTCAATTCAGAGAAGCGCAAATGCCTAATGATAACAGATGACTCTGAGTTTCACCCTGAAATTATCAGCAGGAGCCTGATGGCTCGGCAAATCTGATGACGTTTAAGGTCATGCAGAATTATTGAGTCTTCCGACATTTAAGCTATTTTTACTTTTACTGTGTTTTTATTTTACTCTGTTTTGACCTCTTAATTGGATGGATTCCAGGATTCAGCACGCACACCACGCAGCGCATGTAGCGGAGCCCCGGCCTCACTTTCCGATAGTGAGATTCCAGGTCAACGTTGGAGTTTTGCGGTGAAGCTTAACGTGTCGCAATGCTCGACACGCTCCTGCTTGCCTTCTGACGATACCTGACCTTAAGCGCGGGCTCTACCACCAGCTGCAGGTCATACCAGTCGGGGGCGACTAGCGACTGGGGCAATTGATATGTGGGGATGGACTGTTGTTCCCTGAACTGAGGTATTATATTAGTCAAAAAGGTGTTTTACCACCAGAGACGTCCTTGATTAAGTGTACTTTGTGCTTCATTTGTGATCAAGTTAAAGACAGGATTTGACGCGTTTTTGGGAGCTAATTGATGCCATTCCCCACTCGTTTGTCATTGGTTTAGCATTAACGTTGTCCTTGGTAGCATAGATATCTCCAATTAGCAGCCATCTCTGCCATCCCAAGCACTCTCCAGACGCTCAGAAGAGCATCAATCCATGCGCTATCTATGACCTCGATCTCTCCCCTCTCTTCTTCTGCCTTTTTCCTCCATTAAAATGGTGGGTCGACTCCTCTTCAGTAGGTGATGAATCTTATGGTTCACGCTCATGAAGGTCCAGCCGTGTACGTGTCATTCGGGCAGCACAGCAACCTCTTAGCTGTGCAACGGGTATCCTTGAAGACTGTCCTTTGTCAGCTCTTGGGAAGACACTCCTCAGGCTGGTCTTTCAACCTTGCAAACCGCCTGTTCTCTCAATTAGCCGGCCACACATTCTTTCTGTGACTCAAGGCCGGATGAGCAGCGTTCTGTAGAGGGGGGGGGGGGATTGCCGCGGGCGCTGACACTGTGACCTCTGGCTGGGTTGCGCTGGGGGCGATCTGTATAGAAGAGCCGCAGCACCGAAGAGGCGTCGTGCTGTGCGGCTGACAAGCGGATGACAGATGGTGCGTACACACGGAACAATTTTGCATTTTTATAACGCAATTAAAGGGAACCGTACGCCATATATTTCAGACAATTGGCGCAAAGTGGGCGAGAAGACACAATAACGCTTCTTTGTTGAAGCCTCAATTGTATGCCGGCTAGCACCACGATGAATGATTGAGATATCAAGTACTATGCACCAAACAGCAGTTAGAAACGGCTCTGCAGGCTGAATAGACCCCAAGTCGCCCCAAGATCCCGTAAGTGCTATGGGGCGCATTCACAAAAAGGAGCAGGATGTCCTCGCGTACCGGGCTGGTCCAATGCTCTCCATCATTCCACATTATACATTCATGGTGCCATTTCTCTTAGATCGTTAGTTTTACGCTTATTCACGTGCTGAACTAATGCATAACAAATGTAAACGTTCCGCTGTCGGAATGACAAAAATTGTGTGACTTCCATTAACGGTGCGTTGTTACGATTATAATGCTACGCGTTGAACGCATATTGCAGACTGATGTCAGTAGAAAGCGATGTAGTGCATGATACTCGAAAACCACCGCGACGGCTAGTGTTTTTGTCCGCGTCTGATTAGTTAAGGAGACGCAGAATTCTCCTGACGTCACAAATATTTGGTAAAATTAGTCCAAACCTTTTGATTGGAGGGATTTTTGAAGCAGTGCCCATGCTAAGATTGCTGGTCATGTGAGCTCTGACCCACCACCCGGCTCTAAAATTCTGGGTCAACGGCAGAATCTCCGGCAAACGCTTAGCGTGGCGCAGAACTCGGCAGACTGTCCTGGTGTCTGACGGCATCTTTTTCATGATCCACGTCACGAAGCTCGTGTTAGCCGTTCACAAAAGCTGGATGGTAAGCGTTCTCCGGGCATTACACCCTTCCCAAGTTCCCATAGATAGCCTAAGACTGCGGATTTCCCTTGTGATTTGCACGTATTACATGCCGAAAAACACTTCGAAAACACTTCGTTACGCATTCGCCACCCATGAAGAGGCGGCAGTGTCCTTCACGAAACCGGAAATATTAACTTACATTAAACGCAATTCGAGGCGCCTCCCGATTAAAATATAGAGGAAGATAACCTAAAAATGGTTCAAGAGCGCATCCAAAAGAATGACTGAATGTTGAGAGTCTTAGTGTTGAAAGCGACCGGTTGGTGGTAGTTTGCAGTTATCATCAATAAAATCTGCTTAGACAAAAGTTAATAAAAAGTGGCCAGTGCTTAGTCTGGTGAATGGCCATCTGCTATCACCATTGCCGAATCACCCAGACGTCAGAAAGAGAGTTTGGCTAATAAGGCACCGAGTGCTTAGTTCAGGGGCAAGTTTGGGCTGCGGTACCAGGCCGGTCCAGATGGGTCCCGGCAGGTATGCAAGCTGACAGCTCTGCCACCTACCAAGCACGCTTGTTGCCAGGGAAGCATCAGAGGCGCCGAAGCTGTTACTCAGGCACTGGCTCTTACGTCATTGGTTTACATGTGCAGTTTGCCGGGACCGCCGTTTGCCCAACGCGTTTGCCTCCCCGGGCGAAATCAACGGTCGAGATACGCGCGAATCCCCAACTACATGTAGCGGCGATCTGTATACATGCAATTTAGCTATCTACATATATGAGGTCTAGTTACATTTACACATATATCGTACTTACTTACATGCACATAGCGACGAGTGACGGTGCGCTCCACGTACGCCCCACGATTAACTGTGATCTGAAGGATGACAACGGTCACGGATCCATTGTGACTTGTGTTGCGTGAAGAGATGACACATGCTGTGAGGAACGGCGGTGTACCGCACTGCGTGACTGACTTCGTTGGAAGGCGTGAGCGTGGCTTGCAAGTGCGGTTACACACGTTGTGGGAAAGACCGATAATGATGCCGATAATCGGCCGGCACGCCTTGTTCATTGTCGCCAGAATGTGAGCAGGGAAAAGTGTTTGAGTGCAAGGCATGTATGACGCGAATAATGTTAATGTGCCGCGATGCCAAAGCCTGCTACGAATGATAATGTTCACCTATGCTGAGCTGAACATGTGCGGGACATGTAATGAAAACATGTGCAAAATTCCCTGCGCGCTTCTTCGCAGCTAGTACAATTGTGTCATTTAGGTGTACTTTAGGTGTACTCACAAACATAAAGAAAACAAGCTTTTGTGACATTTTGATATCACATGTAGAGACGAATGTCAGTCATCGGGAGAAATACATATTGGTGCAATATTTGCGTTCCAGACACAAGAGCTTGCTACGCTGATCGCGTAAATTCGGGGAAATTTTGTGCAGAAGGTTTTTTCAAGTGGTCCACATTTCTGATATTTCATGCGGTTAGGGGCTTTTTTATAAATATTAGCTATGCAGCTGCCCTAATCCCATAAACCATGCCTCACACGTTAGCGCATCAAAGTGGTCTGCACTTATGTAGCCCATATTTACAAGGTGCATTGTATCGGATTGCTATGATACAGCAACAGCCTGAACTATGTGCGAAACGATATGAGGTCACATCACGTCATCACCAATAACTGTCTCCTTTGCTCTTAAAGAAATGCACATGAGCTCAAAAGCATATTGTCCAAACTATTTAACAAGCCGCCTTTCCCCGTCCGGTTAAAGTCGTCCATGTCGCCCCAGTGAAGAAATGGCATGTTTTCCATTGGATTCAACCAGCCATTTCAGTCTGGCATAGCCCACGTCTGTTTGGTCGTCTCTGGCGCGGGTTCCGCAGTATGCGCCTCTCTGACCGGCGCTTACTGGCGCCCCATCTCGCCATTCCTGCCGTCCCTGCCGTCGCCATGGCCTGCTACTGTGGGGGGGGGGGGGGTGGAATCCGGGGTTTCGGTGACCGTCGCCCGCCCGCCGGCGTGGCCGAGAAGGTCGCCCGGCGAAATGGATGTACCCGCCCGGCCGCTGGGTCCCGTCGCCACACCGAACTGGCGCGTGGTGGAGACGACACGTGGAACGCGGCACGTGCAGCACGGCTCGAGTGGGGCTCGCACGGGCGATGACCCTCCAGGAGATCACGGCGGCCTGTTAAAGCAACAGACCCGCGCTTCCGTGCGCCAGTGAGACGGAACGCCGCGACAGATAACCGGTGAGTGCATTGTTTGACAGCTGTATGTCGGTACGGAAGCTCACAAAAGAATGGAATGGGCGGATGTAGAATACAAGTGAATAACTGCACCTGCAGTGACTTAGTTCTACTGATCCGCTCAATGAGATGTGACCGCAAGCGTGCTCAGTCTTATATTGCTGGCATTATTCTTGCAGAGTCTTGCCACCCCCCAACACACACTGTTAAGCTCTGTCCGTCAGTGACAAACCCAAATAATCAAAAGTTGTCCAAAAGGAAGAAAGCCTCCAGGTTGTTGAGAACGTGGTCATCACCCACCCCAATGAATATTATGGAGCTCCAGTGACGAATGCTGACGTAAGATCCCTCCGGCGGAATCCATTAAAGCATGCACTCGCGGAGTTTCTTGGGAGTCCCGACCCTCGGGCGCGGAGCCCCCTAAAGCGCGCACCCGCGGGGTTATTCGGGGGCCCGACCCTCGGGCGTGGAGCCCCTTAAAGCGCGCACCCGAGGGGTTATTCGGGGGCCCGACCCTTGGGCGTGGAGCCCCCTAAAGCGCGCACCCGAGGGGTTACTCGGTGCCCCGACCCTCGGACGTGGAGCCCCCTAAAGCGCGTACCCGAGGGGTTACTCGGGAGCCCGACCCTCGGGCGTGGAGCCCCCTAAAGCGCGCACCTGAGGGGTTACCCGGGGGCCCGACCCTCGGACGTGGAGCCCCCTAAAGCGCGTACCCGAGGGGTTACTCGGGGGCCCGACCTTCGGGCGTGGAGCCCCTTAACACGCGTACCCGCGGGGTTACTCGGGGGCCCGACCCTCGGGCGTGGAGCCACTTAACACGAGTACCCGCGGGGTTACTCGGGGGCCCCGACCCTCGGGCGCGGAGCTCCCTAAAACGCGCATCCGCGGAGTTGCTGGTCAGCCTTGACCACTCGGAGCATTTTGGGAATTTTGCACCAGGCTCATGTTGGTCGTGGTGCAAGAAAAAGACGTATCAAAATGTCACTACCCCAAATCCTCCTTCCCACAAATACTGAACGAGCTCCTGAGGCAGTGAAAATCCCTTTCCAACTTTTTATATTTAAAAGAATAACCAAAATGTAATCTTGCGAGCAGGATGTGCTATTTAAAACACAACAATGTTCAAGAGACAAGAGGAAATGAAACTGAGGCCTCGTGCATTTTAATGCACGTGTTCGTTTCGACGGAAGACCTAAGCTCTTGAAGATCAGGATGTTGCATCGCATGTCCTTCCTCGGATCCGAGCTTATGTCAGGCGTCCCTGATCGCTTTCTTTTTGAAAGGTCAGAACACGAACATCAGCACGGCACTGTGCTCATCGCAACTGCCAAGGATATTATGGTCATTGGTGCTCTCGGCCCATGCAAATCCATCGTCTGGTGCTAATCCATAGAAACCCGATGGGTCCAGCTTAAGCTTTCGTGTGTGGATTTTTGGTAGACATTCGTTGCATTATATTTAGTGCATCGCATGGACCGATGCTCTCAAATTAAACAGTTATTCTTTAAGCATCACTCGAAATGAGGATAGGTGCTGTGTAGGATCAGTATGACAGGTGAACTGTTATGTTATGCAAGAAGGGTGTGGAGGGATTGTATGGCAACATATCGAACATTTGTGGTGTTTGTCCAAGCAAGGATTATTCGTTATTTTCGAATGTCGGTCTATACCAGTTATAAGCAACGCACCAAGATGTGTCGTACGTTCAGGCGGGGGCAAATAGCTTAAAAGTACAACGGCCAACGTGAAATAAGTGTAATGCTACAATTATAACGATTTCACGGATTATAATGCAAGGTGTAGAGAAAAGGACGTCATTCTGTCCAGGAGAGGACTTAGGGTGACCTAGGTCAAAAGAAACTTGTGTTAGCTCAGTGCGATATCGTTGAGGCTTAACGTTATGTATAATGTCCAGGATCTGACGAATATGACTAAGATGTGCACAGTATGCTCTCAAAACGCTTCTTTGCTGCAAACTAAACATCGTTTACTGACATTGCGGTTTGCTTTTGCTGAAATTATGTTGAGATCTAAACAAATCCAATGCCTTACTTAATATTCTCAAATCAGGAAATATCTTTACAAATCGAAACACACGAAAGTTTGAAGCTAAGTACCTATGTTTCGACATTATGAGCCCCAAGTCCTTGCGTCATGTACAGGACCTTTAATATACCAAGAGTTGCTGATAAAACAGCGTTGTAGTGCTAAATTATGATTGCATTGATGGTACACAATGGTTTGAGTCGTGCCCATTCTTCAGAATCGTTAAAACTTTAAATATACCATGAGATAAAACGCAAGGAGTGCCACCGCCTTTTGATCTTTGGACTCACTATTTTCATGCTGATACTGCTCATATTTGTTACATTTCTTCACCTGAGTGTAGCGCTTCAAATCAATTTGATGCCTTGGGACTTGGAATTTAAAACCTATTTCACATTGATTGCCGGCAGCAAAAACGCATCGAATTGCCGGAACATGCCGCTCCAAGCCCATTCAGGATTCCATTGACTGGGCTTGATAATGGCGAGGGTATGGGCCGGGAGCCAAACTTCGGGACTTTTAAGACGGTTCAAAAACAACGGCCGGGAAACCTTGAACAAATAGCATTAAATGCAACTCCTTTGCCCTCCAAAGGCGTGGGTTTACGCCATGCCCACAGCAGAATTCATCCTGGTCATCCAATAAATCCGCCAGACGATCCAACCCGCTTACAGAGAGGGATGGACGACGTGATCGGACCGAAGGCATGGAGTGAACGCCACGTGTTTTCCCCAAACGCCACGCCTCCTCATTTCAATGACAAAACTCGGAGCGAGTGGATCACCATAAAACATAAAATCCCTATGGGATGCCTTTGGCGTGGAGCACCCATGACCCAAAGCCTTTTTTCGTGATAAGCACTCAACATACCGCTTCCCGGGATAGGGTAACAGATTAAGCCAGATTTCGCAACCCACCAGGTAGATAAAAGAGCCCGACCAAATCCAAGGCTTTCGCAGCCGGCCAGAAGCCGATGACGCCTGTCCGACCGATGGCCGGGCGAGCGGCAGCGTTTACTGGTCGCCGGAGGCTTGCGCACAGTCCACACGACAGTTGTTCACTGACGTATGTACAGTGCACTTCCATGCACCTGGCGTACTAACGGGCCCTGTCGTCCCACCCTTAACTCAGGGTGGCATTGAGGTCTTGTGTAATCGGATTGTCACGCGTCGGCAAGGCCACTGGACGCGGCGATGAGTGGCTAATCAATGCCTGGCGGAACTGGCTGTCGAGATGAGCCAGTGTAGTCGGGAGATTGCTGCATGTTTCGGCTGTTCATGCGTTGATGAAGGCGCAATACAAGGACATCACGCGACAAACACCTGGGGCTATGGGCGCCCCTACGTTTAATGCTCGTTAAGTGAAGTTTTTTCCTTTCTCACTGAAGCGCACCATTTGGTTACAGAAAAAAACAACGAAGGATTAAGATTGTGGTGGAATTTTTCCCCAGGCATTAAGTGTTTGCATGACAATGAGCACATTTTTGAACAGTTAAGAACCCTTGCTTCTAGCATTCCTAATCAAAGTTCGTGAGAGGTAATACTTGGCTATTCGAGGAGATTTATGCACTTTCACTCAGTCTTTTCAGTTTCTTTTAAAGCGTAAGTGTTTCTGCCATTCCCAGCTTGATATTCATGTATTGAGCATCAGTGATGGCTTGCTGGCATTCAGACATTGAAAATTGAATGCCGGCTTGCTGACGTGGGTGGAACTTAACAAACATTGTTAATATGTATGTTTTTTGTTGTCTATCCCCCCGTCACAAAGGGTGTATCGGCTCCTTTACGCAGTGACTGCAGCAAATTACAAATGCTGGTTTGATACAAAGTATCGCAGGGCTGTTTGCTTTAGCCACCAGAAATACCGAAACGGTTGTGCCTCAATTTTTAAAATAATTATAATGCTGAAATATTTCATGGAGCTGTCAACCGTACAATCAACTCTGGGCAGCGACATCGTATACAAGCGATTGGAGCCGAATAATTTTAACAATAAAATGTCTTCTTTGAATAATTCATAGCCTCAGAGGTAGGAACTAAGAACGGCAACTTGTCAACAGACGTGAAGCGAAATGGCCATATGCTTTGCAAAACCAGTTTTCAGCACATCACGGGTTTGTCTTCAGGTCATGAATGCGACCGCTTACTACACTGTACACGACCAACAAGAGCAATGTTGAACGACTGTTCTTATGGATGGTATCTTATGTTTTAAGATGGTCGCATGCCTAACCTGACGGAGAACCCGAGACGGGATCGAAGCCGGCTTGGCAAAGACAAATAACCATTTAGCCTCACGTCGGCACTGAACGTTACATTCTTTATCGAATGTTTCCTGGATGTTTTGTAAAAAAGCCTAACCTGTTGCTCCTTGGCATAGTCCAATACAAGTCGATGACGAAGAGATAAATAAGAATGACAGTAATCCTCATGCAATATACCGGGAAGCCCCCGGTCATCACATATACGTAACAACATGCATTGTCCGTCCGATGGTTTTGGAAAGAAAAGAAAAGATGAAAAGATGAAAGACAAAGGGTTATCCTTTGAAGAAGAAAAAATGCACAGAAGGGGTGTATTCATACACCGGAGAAAAACTTTCGAGACTGTCATGTATCATCGGTTATTAATGAGCCATGCTAAATGAATGAACCTCATGGATCTTCATCAATTCCGTATCCTCATGCAGGTTCTATATTCAGTAGGCAAAGAATGAAATCATAGTGAAATGCATAGTTGCTAACGGAGACAAGACGGCTATCAAGCGTTTATTTGCGCAGGCAGAGTGACTCGCAATGAGTAGGCTGTCGTCGCCGTGCACAGCTGGTTTAGTCACGCCGAGGAATCACCTGCCTATGATTTGGGCCAATCCGTTTAAGTCGAATGTTTGCAAAGCTCGTGCCGCCAGCTCAGTCAGCTGACTCATGCACCGGCCAAGGAGAAGGAGGGGAGGGGAGG